GTCGCCCAGACTGGAGTGCAGTGGCCGCTGCCGACCACTGCAGCCTCGACCTGCTGGGCTCGGGCAATCCTTCCACCTCAGCCTTCCGAGTAGCCGGAATTACAGGCACACGCTACCACGCCCGGCTAATTTTTTGATTTATTGTAGAGATGAGGTCTCACCAAGTTGCCCAGGCGGGTCTCGAACCCGCGGGCTCAGGCAGTCCACACACCTCAGCCTCCCAAAGCGCGGGATTACATGCTGAGCCACCGAGCCCGGCTTCAAGTCCCTTTAAAATGTGGTTTCTTGGCCAGACATGGTGGTTCATGCCTATAATCTCAGCACTTTGGGAGGCCAACATGGGAGGATTGCTTGAGCCCAAAAGTTCAAGACCACCCTAGGCAACATAGCAAGACCTGATTTCTACAAAAAATAAAAATTAGGTGTGGTGGCACATGCCTGTGGTGTCAGCAACTCAGGAGACTGAGGCAGAAGGATTACCTGAGCCCAGGAGGTCGAGGCTGCTGTGAGCCATGATTGTGCCACTGCATTCCAGCCTGGGTGATAGAGTTAGACTCCCGACTCAAAAAAACGAAAAAAAATCTGGTCTCTCTTTATCTAATGCATTACAGTATTACATCTAATATTTATCTAACCGACTATCCTTTAGGTACAAGAGACTAACTTAATCAGTGTCACTTCCTAGATGTTCTTTTTTCCCCCCTTATTATTACATAATAATTTCCTTCATTACGTTACAGTTGCTATTGTAGATAATACTGTATGATTAAACATTAATCCATCTCACCCTTTCTCAATCAGGGTTATTCATCTGAGCCAAAGAAAACTGAAAATGATTTGAGTAATTATGTTCTCAATTCTCCCAAAGATATATAATAGTATATAATTAATGCCATCCCAGTTGCCTAGGAGAGTTACTTCATTACATACCATGAATATCTTAGGGTAGTGGTTTTTAAAGTGTGTGCTGGGAACTAGACACTTTCAGCGATCCAAAAGGCCAAAATTATTTTCTTAACAATTCCAAGACATTGTTTGCCTTTTTAAATTCCCATTCTCTAACAGGTATATAGTAGAGTTTTCCAGAAGCTACATAATGTATATTAGGATTGATTGAATGCAGAAGCAGACTGAGAATCTAATTATCTTCTATTAAACATAACGTTAAAACTATTTGCAAACATAAGCAATGCTATTCTTCCTAAATTTTTGTTTTGGAAAGAGTAGTTTTCATAACAATATTTATGCAGCATGTGATGGATTTATTTTTTTGTAGTTACTAAATAAATACAGACAGTTCATACTTTTCATGGTTCCAGTGTTCACAATTAGCTAAGTGACATCAATCCTATAACAACATAGGAGGTGTAACAGTTAAATTCACATACTCATCCTAGAAAAAGTGCTGCATATCTCATTGCTGAATATCACTTTGATCACCTCCAAAGTACTCCTCTTGGGAAGCTCTGCACTGACACTAGCACCCAGTGCTCCATCAACAATTTTGGAACTCTTTTTCTGGAATGACCATCAGAACTGTCGCTGCATTACCCTTGATGTCCTGAATGTCATCAAAATATCTTTCTTTCAATATTTCCTTTATCTTCAGGTAAAGAAAAAAGTCATTGGGGGCCAGATCAGGTGAGGGTGGTGTGTTCCAATACAGTTATTTGTTTACTGGCTAAAAACTCCCTTACAGATAATGCTTTGTAAACTGGTGCATTATCGTGATGCAAGAGCTCTTTTGGGACCATTTTTGCACACATCTTTCTCATGCCAAGATTTTCAGTTAAAAACTTCCTGTTTGGGGCTGGGCGCAGTGGCTCAAGCCTGTAATCCCAGCACTTTGGGAGGCCAAGGTGAGAGAATTGCCTGAACCATTGGTTTGAGAACAGCCTGGGCAACTTGGTGATACCTCATCTCTTTAATAAATAAAAAATTAGCCAGGTGTGGTAGTGCATGCCTATAGTTCCGGCTACTTGGAAGGCTGAGGCAGAAGGATCACCTGAGCCCTGCAGGTCGACTCTGGGGTGGCCATGAGCAAACCACTGTACTCCAGCTTGGGTGATGGAGTGAGACTCCAACTCAAAAAAAAAAACAACTTCATGTTTCTGTATTGATATTTATTTAGTCTGCTGTGCTTCTCATAATCAGCTGACAAGTTGGGCACACAATTTGACAAATTTTTGAAATGTTTTTGTCATTTCTACTCATTACTGACTGTCTTGACCTCTCTTCATCAGTGATGCTTTCTCTCCCCTCAGAAAAATGTTTAATCCATTTGTACACTGCCGTTTTCTTCATGGCATTGTCCACATAAACTTGGACTAGCATCTCCTTGATTTCTCTTCCACTCTTGCCAAGTTTAACAAGAAATTTAATGTCTGTTCATTGCTCTGATTCAAGATCCAGCATTCTTGTGACAGCACACAGAAACACACAACAACAATAATGAATACTACTGAGAAGACACTGCCACACACTGACACAAACACAGCTGTGAGACACTGATATACCAAGTTATGAAACCTTACTGAATTTTGTACAGTTCTGCTAAAGTAAGCACACAGTAGCAAGTTCGCAAACTTAATTGGCAGACCTCATAGTTTCCATTTGAAATATTACTGCATGTTAACTACGGGCAATTACATAAATACAAATTTTGCGTATGCTACCTTTTCAGTCCACAAATCATACTATATAAGTAAAAACTGTAAATCATGATCAGATACTAATCACTTTTTTTCAGTCTGTCTAGGATTGGTCTTGTATATATTATCCAATTCATGCACAGAAAGTAAAGCCTGTAGTTATTTTACTTCCTTATCTTCTGGACAAGAATGGATAATCAAAAAGAGTGAATTGACCATATTTCAAAAATGAAAGCACAGAAAAGAAAAAGAAAGTGATAATGTTTGAAGTGAGATTTGAAATGAACATAAATGGAGAAGTGACGAAATAGTTAATCATAGGAATGTTGACATTTCTGCCATTCAAGATAATCTAGATCTGCAGCCAGAGGACCTTAGCATAGGGGACCTATTGATATAAGCAAGGAAAGTAGTTACGACAGAACATAGAAAAGATGCTCAATCCATATTGTTGAGTTTTACAATGAGAAGAATAAGGCAAGTACTGTTCAGACTACTCTTAATAAGTTTCTTACAAAGAAGTAAAGCACTTTAATTCTCAATGTTCCTAATGCTTTAAATTATACTGTACTAAATAAAACTGCTTTACTAATTTTAAATTTCCCTGTACATTTTAACTGGCTATAGAGAGTTTTTAATGTTTTGTCAAAAATGTATGCGGTCATAGGACAATTATAATTTTTTTCACTGATTATAAAAATCAATTTGCGTGGTTTTACCTCACACGGTCTTTTTCATAGTCCTGCACCACTGAGCTGAGTGAGGACTCCCTGTATTTAAAATTTTTCAGTTTAATTTCTGATATGATGAATACTAGATATAACCTATGTAAACAAATCTTTCTATGTTTGCCGTTATACCTGTCTCCTATATTTTCTGTCCTGATTGAATAGTGCAGTCATCAAGCCTAAAACCTAAGAAACAGTTTGCACTCTTTAATCTCCTTCATAGGTTTTATTTCTAATTATTTAACAGCTCTTATAGTTATCCCCTTCTCTTCATCCCCTAGTCTTAGGCACTCACAATCATCCTTTATAGGATATGACTGTAAAGAGACAGCATGGGGGAGTTGTTTGAGGTGACAGAACTGTTTTCTATCTTGACTTTAATGATGATTATGTGAATCTATACATGTTTAAGACCATAAACTGTTTTTGGGGTCTTACCATAATAAGGCATTTAAAGTTGTCTTTGCCATTCTTTCAGAATAGAGCTTACAAATAAATCCACAGGTACTTACGAGTATAATGTTCAAGGCATTGTCCTAGGTGCTATGGAAGATACAAACATGCAGAAGGCATATTTCTGTGCTGAAGGAATTTATATTCTAGTAAGGTAGAGATAGACAACACAAATAACAGCAGTAAGATAAACTGTAATTGGCCTTTAAGGGAGATACAAACAAAATTTTAGTTTGTGTTAGGAACGTGTAGGTGGATAATTCTTCATAGAAGATATAGCATTTGAGTTGAGACTTGGAAAATACATTGATTTTTGGCAGTCAAAAATAGAGACAGAGGACCTTTCAATAAGGAAAAAATATAGTACATCCTACAGATTTGCAAGTTTTCCTATTTATAAACTCATGAAAACTTTGGATCTGTGCTTCATAAATGCTCACATCCTATTTTATTCTATATTGTGCACAAAAACTCTTAAAACCATTTGAGTCTAGCTCAAATTTCTTACAAGTAGTATTATGGCTTTTGCATATTTTGGAATTAATAATTTGGTTGAGTTATATTTTAATTCTGATTTAAATGACTGTGAGGGCACTGAGCTATTTGTAAGTCTTAATTTGGTCAGAAGACACTGTCTTAGTCATTTCAGGCTACTTAACAAAGTATCTTAGGCTTAGGAAATTCATAAACAACAGAAATTTATTGCTTACAGTTCTGGAGGCTGGGAAGTCCAAGATCAATGCATCATCATAGTTGATGTCTAGTAAGGGCTCATTGCTCATAGGTGACACTTTCTGTGTGCCCTTACACGGGGTAAGAGGCAAATAAGCTCCCTCAGGCCTTAAGTTTTATAAGAGTACTAATCTCATTAATGAGGGTGGAACCCTCATGACTTAATCACCTCCCAAAAGTTCCACTCCTTAGTATTATTACATATGAATTTTGGAAGGGCTCAAACATTCAGATCATAGCAGCTTATAAACATGTAAGAGAAGAGACTTATATTTCTGTAAAATTTTATATTTAAAGAGTGAATTAGAATAAATGGGGTTTTTAGAATACATGTAAAATATTTTTGCAGTTCTTCCCAAAATTGCCTTCTTCCCCTTTTTTCATGTTTAGGTGAATAAATCAACTCTGCCTAAAAGCAATAATCTTTTTCTCATAGGTTTTCTGTGAAGACCCTGATTGATCGGTCTTGCTTTGAGACAATTGATGATTCTTCTCCTGAGTTTAACAATTTTGCAGCTATTTTGGAACAGATTCTAAGCCACCGACTAAAAGGTAAAAGCACTAATGTATTATTTATTCTCCCAACAGTTCTTTTTATAATAAAGTAATTTTAGAAATCCCACAGTCTTATGTAACTTAGATAGCAGCCATACTACATCTTGGGAAACATAAAACTGATTTTAGAATGTCTAATATTTTGTCCTGTGTCCCTAGAAAAGAGTCTCTGTTCTTGAATTTATACTCATTTCTGGGGCACATTTGAAAAGCTGATTATATTAATTGCCATGCACAAGGAGAAAAGTCACTTTCCATAAGTTATTAACATAAAAGCTTAAATTAAGAGGTAGTCCATCCCAATGCGTAATAGATGGCATTTTTATCAGTTTATAAAGAAGCATTCCTGGTATTATGTTTCTTTGCTTAGCATCTATTTTCTTTAATTTAGAAATCTTTGAAATTATTTAGGCAGCAGATAGGTTAAAAAGAGGTATATAAATGATATGCTCCACTTTTCTTAAATCAGTAAGTTTATCTACATTAGAAATATAAGTCACTTAAACTTTAAAGGGGAATATAGGAGCCTATATTCTCTCTGAATTTTAGAAATTTTTGCAATTAAAAATATAAGGCCAGGCATAGTGGTTCATGCCTGTAATCCCAGCACTTTGAAAGACTGAGGCAGGAGGATTGCTTGAACTCAGGAATTCCAGCCTAAGCAACATAGTGAGCCCTCGTCTCTACAAAAAACTGAAACATTAGCCAAGTGCAGTAGTATATACCTGTAGTCCCAGATACTTGGGTGGCTGAGGTGGGAAAATCACTTGAGCCCAGGAATTTGAGGCTGCAGTGAGCTGTGATTGTGCCACTGCACTCAGCCTGGACAACAAAGTGAGACCCCCGACGTAAAAATCAATCAATCAATCTATCTATCTATCATCTATCTGTCTGTCTATCTGTCTGTCTATCTATCTATCTATCTATCCATCTATCTCTGTCTACTACCTATCTATCTGTCTATCTATCTATCTATCTATCTATCTATCTATCTATCTATCTATCTATCTATCTATCTATTTCTATCTGTATCTATATCTGTAAAAGGTAATTGATAAAAATCAAGAAGTATTAAATAGTATAAATCATAGTAAAAGTAAATAGTAACTGTCACATCAAGTCTATTATCTAGTCTTCCTAAAGAAAATTTGATCATCTGATGTTTTTATTATCATTACAATCTTAATGGTATGGGTTCACATCAGTAATAGTAAACTGCTTTGATAATATAACTTATGAGAATCAAGTATAATCTAAAGGTTAATTCTATTCTGTTTTCTATAAGTGTTTCAGTGATTTGAGCAGTCCTGTGTACTCAGAGCAAAGGATTGAATTTAATTACATGAGTAAAAAAATATTAATTCATTCACCTCTCTGAAATTTGAAATGGAGTCCACGAGATTACTGAGACTTTTTCTGTTAAAAGTTGATTGTTTTGAACGTTTAAAGTTATTTTTCCCTCATTTTTGCAGTTGTGTTTCTTAAATTCTCTGCTAATAGTATGTTACCTTTTACAAGAACATAAATTTTTATAAAAGCAAAGGATATGGAAGTATTCTGAGATAATATCAGAGTTACTATGTTGTGTGATGATCAAATTTTAAAATTTTATACATAAATTTATAAATCATACCTGACTGAAAAGCTCATGGAATACCACATATTCTGATTACCTTAATGTTCGTGAGACTTTTATCTTAAGACCTAATTTCCTTGATTTGGCATACCTTTAGTATGAGTCTTTCACAAAAACTGTCAGTAGAAGATAATAAGGCCATGTTGAGATACCCATGGGAATGATTGGGTCACTATCTTGTAAGTGGACACCTGCCCACCGATTGCCACATTTGAGTTGTGCCCCAGCAAAATGTAGATTGGAAACCTTCAGTGTTACTTCTAAACACCCAAATCTATTAATGTTATTTCTGAAAAATGTGATAATGAAAATAAAATAGTTGATTTATAACTAAGAGTTCCACTTGTGTGACTAAGATAGATAGCTGATACAATAAGATTTGTGTTAATTTTTTAAAGCTAGGTAAGATCAGTAACTCAAAACATGTTTTTATTTATTTTTTATTTTTGACTTTTTAAACATATTTTTATTTTAAAATTGTGGGGTACAGTTGAGGGTTAGGTATACAAATATGCATCATTCAGGCACCCTTGTTGATAAGGGGTGTCTGACCAAAAACGTGTTTTTAAAAAGGTTTCTGTAAATCAACTATTGTGGTCACTGTGATTGTCATATGTAGATATGAATTATGGAATAATCTATAACTTTTGCAATGACTTATTTTAAACACTTATTTTAAACATCAGGACTTTCAGATATCATTTCCTATCTTTTAATACTCTGAGACATAACAAATTACTTTTACTTTTGCAGAAGTTAATATGATTATTTCATGATGCACTGTGTTCGCTTACATTTTAGGTATATAGCAACTAATTTTTCCAATCTTTTTCTTTATAGGAGCATAAATTAAAAATATATATCTCCATACATTTGTAAGATTTACTTTTCTACAGCTAACACTTACTTTTGAAGTAAAAGGATTTGGTTTAGACATTAAATAGTTCCAGAAAAAGAAAATCTCCCCCAGACACAATACAGGCTGTGCTGACACAGGTAAAGTGAAGAGCTGAGGCAATTATCTACTTCATTCACTCTAAAAGCACTGTTATTTAATAAAAGGATGATTTAAAAATAATATACATTAATCTTATTTGCAGTGATTCCCCAATAAGATGTTGTTCTTACTTTTCTGGAATATAGATGAGAAGTAGAGATTAATTACAAAATATTAGAATTGAAAGAGATCTCAGTTCAAGTCCTTCAATTCAGTAATTTTTGAACATTTGTTTACTTAAAGCATAATACTTTCCTCCACCCTCCACCCTCCACCCACCTCCCCTAATAAAAGTCACTGCGGAAGCTGAATATGTACGTGGAACATTATATTGATTCAGGGTGGGAAAATCAGGAATTTTGGCTGCTCGACAACAATTGTATAACACCCAGAAACTCCACACCATCACTTCAAGTATCATGAAGGATTATAATTGAGAAGCACTATTCATTCTAGTCCCTCTCCTACTGAAGCAGTTCACTCAACAATATTTCTCACTGGTAGACAAATCAAATCAAAACCACAAAATGAAATATCACATTACACCTGTCAGGATGGTTATTATCAAAAATCAGAAGATAACAAGTATTGAGAAGGATGTCAAAAAAAAAGGTACTCTTGTATACTCTTGGTAGGAATATAAATTAGTACATCCATTATGAAAAACAGTGTAACGTTTCCTCAGAAAATTGAAAGAAGATTAATTTGATCCAACAGTCCTACTTCTGGGTTTTTATCAAAAGGAAATAAAATCACTATCAGAAAGAGATATTTGTAGAAATGAAAGCATAATAAATTCCCAGATGAAGGAAAACTAAGAATTATCACTTGTAGACCTGATCTAAAAGAAATGCTAACAAAATTTCGTCAAGCTAAAGGGAAATTATATCAGAAGAAAATGTAGACCTTTATGAATCAAGGTAAATATCTGAATAAATATAGCAGATTTTTTTTTCTCCTTTTAAGGTCTTTCAAATATGACTGCTTGAAAGCAAAAAGTCTAGCATTGTTGAAGAAGGTTTTAATGTTCATATATAATAAAAGTGATATTTAAAACAAAGGCTGAAGAGTAAAGTGAACTATGTGGTTATATGGTTTACTTGAAATGATAAAATATTGACTGTAAGTAGGCAGTAGGTTGTTAAATGTTAGGTACTGGCCAGGCAGAGTGGCTCAGCCTGTAATCCCAGCACTTTGAAAGGCCAAGACAAGAGGATTGCCTGAGACCAGTAGTTCGAGATCAGCTTGGGCATCTTGGTGAGACCTCACCTTTACAATAAATAAAAAAATAAGCTGGGATGGTAGTGCACGCCTGTAGTTCCAGCTACTTGGAAGGCTGTGGTGGAAGAATCGTCTAAGCCCAGCAGGTTGAGGCTGCGGTGACCTTGAGCATGCCACTGTACTCCAGTCTGGGTGACAGAGTGAGACTCTAACTCAAAAACCAACAAACAAAATGTTAAGTACTATATTCCTTAAAGAAGCCCTTAAACAGAGTTAGCCAAAAAGCCAATAAAGAAATTAAAGTTAAGTGGGCACAGTGGCTCATGCCTGCAACCACAGCACTTTGGGAGGCCGAGGTGGGAATATTGCCCAGGAGTTCAAGACTATCCTAGGCAACATAGTGAGACCCCATGTCTACAAAATAATTTTTTAAAGTTCCAGGTATGATGGCACATTCTTGTAGTCCTAGCTACTTGGGAGGCTGGGGTGGAAGGATCGCCTGAGCCCAGGAGATCACAAGGCTACGGTGAGCTGTGATCATGCTGGTGCACTTCAGTCTAGGTGACAGAGTGAGACCTTTAAAATTCTCCAAAAAAAAAAGGTAGGTGAAAAAAGGAATGAACAGAAAAGAAACAATAAAATGGTGAATCTATAGCCAATCATCATAATTGCTACATTAAATATAAATGATCTGAATACACTAATTAAGAAGATCTTAAAAGGATAGAAAATGGTCTTCTATGCAGAAACAAATATAAAGAAAGCTGGAGTAGCTATATTAATATCAAAGTAGATTTTAAAACAAAGAAAATGGATGGAAATTTTGGACATTTACATATTAAAAAGCAGGTCAGTTTTCCAAGAAGATAGAACAAATGCCAGGAAGACAGAAGTATATATGCAGCAAATAACAGAGCTCCAAAAAGGAAAAGCTGATATAACTGATAGGGGAAAATAGAATATATAAAAAAATTCACAATTATACTTGACAACATCAACATTTCTCTCATAATAATCAATAGACAAGTAGACAGAAGGGTACAAAAGATATGAATAGCATTTTAAGCCAGCTAACTTAATTGACATTTATAAAACATCCAACATTTATAATTGACATATATGAAATACTCCTTAATGGCAGAA